GTGAAGCAAAATATATGAAGTAATAAAACTTAAAAATAAACAGGTAACGTAAGTTACATATGAATAATAAATTAATAAATCGTTAAACAAATAAATAAAAGCCAATCTCTTACTCGGATAAATTAACGACACTAATTTACCCAAAATATAACTAAATACTTCCATTCGTATTTTTCTTTAAATTACAATCCTAAAAACTCGAAAAAAAGAAGAGATGCAACGAAATTAACGAAACATTAATATTTGCGAAACGTCCCGACCGTTGTATGCCGTTTGTTCGATGTTTACGAGAAAGGTTATATGTGGCCGAATGATCGATTTTCTTGGTCCGACGGGGTTGTGTGGTAGTGTCGTGCTGTGTCGTCAGTTGGTGACGGGGTTACTTTGTTAGTATGTTTCAGTCAGCAGTTATCATTTATCAGTATTGCTTATCATTTATCTATCACTGGTCTTTCACTTGCTCAACCTTCATTTACTATTACGTTATTGCTTTAATTAGTGATTTTCAAATGTCATTGGATTAGATTGAATTAAATTAGGTAACTTTAATAACACAGATGAAGTATTTTGAGATCTAAAGATTAATGAACTTAAGTTGGTGGAAATGCGTAGCTTTTATACTAGGATCAAATAATTTCGTTAAGATTATGAATTCAACGTGGATTAAGTAATTTTAGTATGATTTGGATGAAATAAAGACTAGTTTCTTTTCGTAATTAAAATAATTTCATTTATACAGATTAAACAGTTAAGGCGAGTAGGTTAGACTAAGTGATATACCAGTAAGGTCAAATAGTTAAATATTTTCAAGTGGCTTGATTGTTATAAGACATTGGTGTCTCATGCTAACAAGCTGTTCAGGTGAATAACTTGATATGTGATATTAGTCCTTGATTTGTTAAAAGATCATTCACTAATTTCTATTAAAGTAATTATGCTTTTATAAAAATTGCTAAGTCTATATAGTAAGTTCAGTGATCATCACATGTTTCATCATTCACACTGTTGTCTAACTACTGTTATCTCTGTAATAAGTCATAACTGAAAATCAGCAGTGTTGTATTTGTGAGTTCTTCTCGAAATGATCAATTGTCGTTCATTTTGTGTTTCTTTATCAACTGTTTTTTTTTTCTTTTTCAGTCGTTTTTTAATTGTTTTATTTTGTTTTTTTTATTTTATCAAATATTATTTAAAAACGATATAATTTTATAAAGCTTGGTGTTCTGTGCAAAGTTCGAGATATGTCGAACATCATTTCCATTTTGTAAGTTTATTTCAGCTTCTGAATACGAAGCATTTATAATCAATACAAGTATCACTGAAGATGGGAAACATCTTCACAAATCTCTTTAAAGGCCTTTTCGGCAAAAAGGTGAGGGAATTCATTTCTTGACTGAAATATAGATCCTACTGTTTATCGAAAAATCATTAGAACTTTTTCTGAAATATTGTTATCATTTATTATCAGTCTTCCAATTTGGTGGCTATATTTAATTCTGGATTAATCTGTGTTTTGTAAATTTCAATTTTCTTTTGCAGGAAATGCGAATTTTAATGGTTGGTTTGGATGCAGCTGGTAAGACTACAATTTTGTATAAATTGAAACTTGGAGAAATTGTTACAACAATTCCAACAATTGGTTAGTTCCATGATTTTCACTGTTTATAAACCTGTTAAACTATTATTCGCAAAAGAACTGCTTAGTGAAATTTGCTTAAGAGTTTTAAATTTTATGAACTTTTGACAAACTAAAGATTTGAGGCTCAATTAGTGATTATCAATCAGAGTCTTTTTAAAATGTTTATTTGAAGTCGATCTACCTCTCATGGCGATACTTTTTTAATGATTAGATATATCAATAATTCTATTTTTAAGTTCAGGTGAATTTTGATCAGTTATATCCTTTACTGGACGATAGCATGTCTTTGATTTTTCATTTCAGGTTTTAACGTTGAAACAGTAGAATATAAAAATATATCATTCACAGTGTGGGATGTTGGAGGTCAGGACAAAATACGACCTTTATGGAGACATTATTTCCAAAATACTCAGGGTAAATTTGTTATTTCAATTAGTCAAATAGTTAGCGAATTTATTCCTGGCTTACATTTATTTTGTCCTGAAATCAGGATTTATATTTCATGTTGATTACTCAGCATTATTTAATTGCACGTTGGATAAAATATTCTGTAGATCGATCATAATAGTTCTGATCAAGGGTCTCCATTCCAGGTCTCATATTTGTTGTGGACAGCAATGATCGTGAACGAATAGGTGAGGCTCGAGAGGAATTAATGCGAATGCTGGCCGAGGACGAATTGCGAGATGCCGTTTTACTTGTTTTCGCTAATAAACAAGTGATTTTTTTCTTTTTTACATGTGTTTCATACATGATCTGTTTTGTATAATTAATATGTATGATGAATAATATTTCGTCAGTTCAACATAAGCAGACGAATTTGGTTTTGGTGGTAGAAAATAGCTAAAAAAGATAGCCTATCACTGGTTACGACCTCAGAGTAGGAAAAGACGCAAACTGGATGTAGCATTTAAGAAATGAGAATCATCAGACCAAATAATCATGCGCCGGAACACGAGGGGTTGCTCAAATTTCTCAATGCTGGTTTAGTCGGAATGTATGCTTAGTGCAGGTAGTTTTCAGTAGCTTCGTTTAATTTGTAGATGGATATTACTAATATTAAAGATAGTTATTTAATATCGTAGATTCATAAGTGCTCTTTTGATTTTTCTAGAGAATGCTTGGGTTTCTTATTTTTATTGCAACAAATATTTCCAGGACCTACCGAATGCTATGAATGCGGCAGAAGTAACTGATAAGCTTGGTTTGCACACGCTGCGTAATCGCAATTGGTATATCCAAGCAACATGTGCGACATCAGGCGATGGTCTTTATGAAGGACTTGATTGGCTGAGCAATCAGTTGAAGAATAGATCCTGAAATTTGAGGAGAATTGTATACAATTTTTTATGCTTGTCATCTGACATTCATCGTTTTGTATGAATTGATTCATGAAAACTTCCAAAAGTGCTGCGCGTAGCAAAATTTTGTTTCAAAGCTACTTTAGGTTCAGTTCTGCTTCATTTTTTTCTATTCCATTGTTAATAGCAATTCAAATTGCGTAAAAATTCTTTACAATTTTGATTTTTGGTTTGAATACAATATTTCGTTTTTCTAGAGTTTTTTTTTTTTTTTTTTTTTGTTGTTGGAATTGAATTGAGAACAACATTTAATAATGTGCTCACAAACTGACTCACTTTGAAAAGTGAGAAACAACATAGACATATATTTGAAAGCATTTGTAAGAATCATAGAAGTTTTGAATGGTAAATTCCCTGGCTCACAATTCCTTATCATTTATTACTCAGCATTCTGTCGTTTAATTTAACAGTTAACATTTTCTTTCATTTGTTTAAGCGGATTTTAGTTGGAAAATCAATTCTTCATGCGCAATATAGTTGAGATTTTAATATTGTGATAATTATTATATTTATGTAACACAAACAATTGTTTAATTTTTTCTGAATTTTATTACAGATATTTTTCTTTTGTCAAGCAGTGTTGTGGCTATTTCAATCATACAGCTGAAGTAAAAGTCAATCACTTATTTTTCTGTTTCCGAAAATTTTTGTAGATTATTGTAAAACTATTCGCATCGTTTTTTTTTTTTTTTTGCTTTGCTTTGCTTTCCGTTTTCTTTTATATTACCCAGTACACTCACATCTTTCTTCTATATGGTTGACTGTTTTTGTGATAGAGTTGTATGTTGTGTGTGTTTGTGTATGTGTGCGTGTGTGTATGTGTATACGTTTGAAATTTCTACATGAGTTAGGTGCATATTTGATGCTCCGACAGCATCTTATTGCAATAGATGGATACATCATGATCTAATTTTCTTGAATCTCTTTCATAAAATGTCGCAGAGAGTCGATATGAGCGCATTAAAATCATTGCTCATCTTTCTTTCCGTTATAGCAAATTAAATTGAAAATTGTGTAATGTGCTCATTTAAAAAAAAAAAAAAAAAAAAAGAAAGAAAGAAAGAAATCGCTGTTATTCATTGCTTTTAATATTTCTGATATTTGCTATTCTTATAATTGTTCCTTCCTGTTCCAATTTTTCATCTCTTCCTCTTATTTTTATATATGTAATCAAATGCGATGGTAGACAAGTTAACAACATTTAAAATAGCGCATTGGCACAAATTTACAGCAATTTCTGCTCTCTTCACCAATTTACATTATAATTAATGAATTAAACTTAAATTTTTTGATAGATTTTTTTTTTTTTTTGAAAGTGAAAATGTGATATTTTATGCATGTTTCAGTTAAATCAATTTTAGGTAATTCATTAAAGAAAGCACTTTACATGATAGAATGGTCAAACAACATAACAAAACTGTTTTCTCATTTCATAAAGTTAAGAATTCAAATATTATTTGATCATTTGCAATTCAAAAATGGTAAAAAATTATGACTGAAAAATTAATGTAACAGATAGGAAATGTATGTATGTGTATTTATCAAGGGAAATGATTTGTCCTGATTGACAACAACTATTGATTGATTGTTTACTTGAGATCAATATTTCATTCTATTCTAAGCTAATTTAAGTGCTAAATTTCGTTTCTCTCCTTATTTTAATAGGTATTAGATTAATTGATAAAATTCTCAATTATCATACAATTTTTTTTTTTGTGTGTGAGTAAATGAAATTATATTTCAAAAATGAACATTCATTTCAATCTCAAATTCTTTATCGAATAATTCTCTTTCTTTTTTTTTTTTTTTGTCTTTCTACCCTTAAATTTGTAAAGGAAATAATTTACCAATTTTTTTTTTATTTACAAAATTAAAGAAAATTTATAAATTCGTTGAGAAAGAGAGAGAGAGAGAGAGAAAAGGAGAAAAAAAAAACAAAAGGAAAGAATGAAATAAGTAATACAACAGGAAGTAACGAAAATAAAGCTTAAGATGTGAAGTCAACGTTCATTATCATTTAATGATTGACATCGTCGATGATAACGTTGTTGACGATGTTGTTTAGCAGTAATTAATGGTATGGTGACATCTTCCAAATTACCTTCACGAAGCTTTTGAAGATATTTCGAATTTAATTGCATGCCAATGTAAAATGTCACACCTGCACTGTTACTATTACCTTCCAGTAGAGCTACACCTGCTTGATTAGTACGTGAACGTGAACGACTTTCTTTGCGTTGAATCATTTGTTGTCGTTGACGTGAGTTACGTGTCGTTCGACAACTATAACGAATCGGTTTGGGGCTAAAAAAAAAAAAAAAAATAATGAAAAATAATTGTTTACTTTCTGCATAATATTTACAATTCATACATTTTTTTTTTTTTATTCAAAAATTTGAATGATATTTTGCATAGAAATTATTGAATGTTAATTTAATGTAATTTGAGATGAAATCTAAATAAAAAGCTCATCTTGTTTGCTTTTAATATTAAAATATTGGAAAATACATTTACCTTCGCAAAATTCTTCGTTCATTGGTAGTTTGGCACATTTCATCAACAACCTGAAAAGGACAGAAAAGAGTAAATACTTTACTAATAGGCAAAAGATAGCAAAAGTATTGACATTAATCAAACAATTAATTTGCAACTGATGTCAATACCAGGTGTCACATAAAATATGACAACCTCATTTTCTTTTTTAAAATTTATTTCCATTAATGATAAATTTCTTTCCTTTTCTCTCTCTCTCTCTCTCTCTTCCTTTTTTTAAAAAAAAGAAGGAAAAGAATGAGTTAAAGATGAAATATCTTAAATTGTAATGAAATAAAATAAAAAGAAAACAATGATTACTTCACGCTTATCACTTTGATTATTGATTACTGATGATGATAAGGTTAATTTACGTGTCACATCCATCATATCTTCGGTCTAAAGAATGAAGCAAAGATGACAGAGACAGAAATTTGAAATAAATATTTCAAAGATATTTGTATTACATTAATAATATTAGAATATAATTTGTTTTTATTCTTTTTTTTTTTTCATTTCATTTCAATAAATAATAAAAAAAAAAGGAAAGAAAATTAAAATTGAAAATGTAAAATTTCAATTTTAATTGGTAAAAAAAGGAAAAAAAAAGAAAGAAAATAATTGTTATTATAAATTTAATTTCAACCATAAATTTCATTTAATCTTTTTCTTCCATTTTCTTTCTAATTTTGAAATTAAAATTTTTTAAAAGAGAGAAAGAAAATTTTGTTAACCTTTGGAATACTTTGTGTTTTAGCTAAACTTGACAAACTTTGTTGCATTATCGAACAATACGAGAAATAAACACGTTTACGATAACGCCATCTTGAATTATCTAATGCAATTCTGTAAATTTTATTAAAAAAAAAATATATCACAAGAAAAGTTAAATAATTTTTTTTTTAAAATTTTTTTGATAAAATAATACAAAAAAAAAAAAACGATAGTAAATTTCAGATAGTATTAATTCATTGATTATTGTTATTATTATTATTATTTATTTATTTATTTGTTTGTTCGTTTATTTACTGTTAGTATGATTGTTATCATTTTTATTAATAATTATTAATTATTATTATTTGCTTTTCTTATAAATTCATAAATTTTTGATTATTTCAAATTACAACAATTTAATCTTAGTAATAAATACATAAACATAATTTATCTCATTTATATCTCTTAAGAAAAAAAAAAAACGAATTGTTTACTATAATCTAATAATTTTATAAGAAATATATGACAAAATTTAGCACATAAAAATTTTGTATAATTTATAAACAAATTAAAATTATTTGTAAACAAAAAATGTTATTGTATACCTAAATCGTTTTGTCTCACTGATAAATGTGTAAACAGCTTTTGTCATTAGACGTAAGTAAAGCTCAACAAAGATAAAAATGACTGAAATGACAGCCGCAGTACGGATCAGGAATGGATCGTTCCGGCCGAATAAGTACTCCTCGTTATAGCCACCCATGTCAGCCGTAAAGGTAAATGTTGCATTGAGCAAGAGAAAAACACAAGTTATATATTGAAATATCAGTTGTTGCTTCAGTAAATTTGCATGCTTTTCTAAAATTGCAATCACAAATAGCACCTGAAATTTAATTTTAAAAGTATTATTTAAACTGTAAGTATATTTTCCTTTTTAAATTAAAAGAGAAATTTTAATTTTATTTATTATTGTTTAAAATACTAATATATTCATTTATTTTTGAGCAATTCTTTTTTTTTTTTTTTTTAAAAAAAAAAACAACAAATTAATTTTGTTGTAGAAATGAAAATGAAAATAAAAATAATATATTTGATGCTTTAAGGCAATTAATAACTTTTTCTTAATTTTTCCAATTAAATTCATTCTTTCAATGTATTTATCATTTTTTTTAATTACTATGAAATTAATTAAATAAATGATTAAATTATATTAATGAAATATTAATTGCAGTAATTGAAAAAACGATAATAAAATTTGAGAAATTATATTTACAAAAAAAGAAATACAAATTTTAATTTTAAAAATTCTGCAAAATAAAATGTTCAAAAAAAAAAAAAGAAAAAAAATTAGTATTTAAAAAATGAAAATTTTACACAATTAATATTTAACAAATTTTCAATTTTTTAAACAATTTGAAAAATTAACAAATAGTTTTAAACAATTTTCTTTTATTCCAAAATAAAAAAAACATTTTTGTACCTTTTTTTTTTTTTTTTTTTTTCAATTTAATAAAATTTTAACTTTTAAATTATAAACTTACTTTTGCTTTTTTTCAATTTAATAAAATTTTAACTTTTAAATTATAAACTTACTTTTGCTTTTTTTCAATTTAATAAAATTTTAACTTTTAAATTATAAACTTACTTTTGCTTTTTTTCAATTTAATAAAATTTTAACTTTTAAATTATAAACTTACTTTTGCGCTAAAAAATATACTAAGTTGTAATAATGTAATAAAACATATAAAAGCTACAATATTTGCACCTTCAGAAGTAAAAAATGCTATAATATAGTGCAAAGAATAGAGTAGCAATAGTATAACACCAAAACTCCATTCAATTGCACAAACAATAATACCCCTACAAATAAGAATAGAATGAATGGATGTCAATTACACAAACAATAATATCCCAACAAATAAGCATAGAATCAATAAAAGCACTTATTTATATCGCTTTTCTTTTTTTTTTTTTTTTTGGAGAATCAAAAGAAAATATTTGATCTAATTTTTTTCATATTATTGCTAATATTTAAACATTCATTGCAATAATATCTATTAAATTAAATAATTTACATAAATAATTATTTTAATTAATTAGAAATGAATAAAATTTAGTTTGAAAAAAATTTGAAATGTTTAAATTATTATTATTATATTACATAATTTGGAATTTAATTTTTTTTTTTACACATTTATTTCTTAATGTTATTGTTGTACTAAAATGAATTTATTTTATATTCAAATTTGCTAGTTAAAAATTAGAAATTATTGTTTACATTAGTGTTACTCATAAATTGCTTAAGGAAAACAAAAACAAACAAAAAAAAAAATAAAATAAAATTAATAATAATAAAACCAGGAACGAGATGCTGGTACAGGATCCCGTTTCCAGAAAAACGGCATCATGAATTTCGGATCCTGTGCATCGAATCGTTCCGGTCCAACAAGTTCACGCACTTCAATTGGACAATTTATTGGCCATTCAAATTTCACTTCTGTAGAAAAAAGCAAACAAATAAACAAAAATATTATTTTTTTAAAAAGAAAAATATTTTATTTTCAATTAAATTTTTTTTTTAAATATTAATATTAAAAAAAAAAAAACAATAAGTTTGAAAAGTTTGTAAATTAAATTTTAATGCAACAATGAATGCTTTGAATTTGCTATTATTTATTGATTGAATACTTCCCTCTCACACTCTCATATTTTTAAGTTTAAAAAAAAAGACTGTCAAATTTTTTTTTTTTTAAATTTTCAGTTTTAAAGGACGCAGTAAAGTGTTTGCTAAAAATGTTGTCTGCGTATTATTTATTAAAAATTTAAAAATCAATCAATAATTGACAAAAAATTTATTTCTTCATCAGACGAAATTTTAAATGTAAAATATAAATGTGATAAAATTAATTTTTTAAGTTTAAAATACAAAAAAAAAAAAAAAGGCATTCTAACTATGTAAATAAACATTATTCATTCAAAATTTTTCATCGTATTAATTGATATCCACAAAATATTTCAGTATGTTAATTCAATTTCCAATTAATTAATTTAATTAAACAGACGGATTGATATTTATAAATTTATTACTCACTAATAAAAGTCATAATTTTCACTAGCTAATATATAAACTTAGATTTATTTCTATAAAATTTAAGATACTTTTCTGATACCAATTTTAATTTTACAGGAATTAATTAATTGATAAATTGAATAAATTGTTAGGTTGCATTAATTATCGATTGCATTAATTAAACATACGAACTTTAAAATTAAATTATTAACAATAAGGATTAATTTGAAAAAATTGAAAATTGATATAATTCATGAAGAATTGAATTCAAATTTATTAATTAAAATTATACACAAATTAATCAATTAACAGTGTATTTGTTAACAGTTAATTCATTTCAAATTTTTATCTTTTTGTAATTTAAATTAAAATTTTTTGTTCGAAATCATTTGGAGAAATACCTGATTTATCAGCAAGTATTCGCCATCCATCCGTAATATCTCTTCGACAATTATCCCAAAATTCTTGACAATTCATTCCTTTACGAGTGGGTAATGCTACAAAGATAGGTTAAGTCCTCGGGTATACCCAGTGAATCACACAACGACGGGCAGGTATCTCTGCCCAGAACACACCCTTTCAGTGAGTCGAATTGATTAGGTCACTGATCACAACACAACTGGGGACATTCACACATACACACATGCATATACACACGTACACGTACGTAAATAGTGCATGTATACATATGGATATACACACGTACACTTACGAAAAATTACGTAAAATATAACGCACACACGTAACATATGTGTGCATATGCATATACATGTACGTAAAACACGCAGATGCATTTGCGCATGCACACATATGGATACACACACGTACTAGGTCTACGTAAAGCACACACACATATGGATACACACACGTACTAGGTCTACGTAAAGCACACACACATATGGATACACACACGTACTAGGTCTACGTAAAGCACACACACACATATGGATACACACACGTACTAGGTCTACGTAAAGCACACACACATATGGATACACACACGTACTAGGTCTACGTAAAGCACACACACATATGGATACACACACGTACTAGGTCTACGTAAAGCACACACACATATGGATACACACACGTACTAGGTCTACGTAAAGCACACACACACATACATGTACAGACACAGACAGACACAGACACAGACACAGACAGACACTAAAGTGATTAAAGGAGAATATTTATGAGTTGTCAGTTTTAATTAATACTTACGGCAAAAGGTGCAATTGCGAAGAGATTTGTTGTTCGTTCTTAAAATGGGAAAAAAGTTGAGAAAGTGAAGGATTGGAAATGTAAGAAGTGGAAACAAAAGAGATGAATGCGACGTGATGTGACGAATTCATTTTTAGATTTTTTCTCCTTTTTTTGTTTTATTTTATTCATTGCAAATTGTTAGACTAATCGATTAATGATTGATCGATTGATCAATTGATCGATTGATTGATTGATTGGTTCGTTCAAAAAATGATTCAATTGAAATTGAAAAAGTTCAATTTATAAACATAAATTGTTTCCTGATATTATTTAACATTCCGATTTCAATTTGCTATTTTAGTTATAAATTTTTCTCATTTATTAAATTTATCAGAGATTTATTTCAAGATTTGATATAAATTAAATTGGAATCAATTTCAATTAATTGATTTCAGATTTAAAGTATGAAATAGTATATATAATACATTATCATTTGCATAATATAAAAGTAAAAATTATATCAGATTCAATTGAAATGAAATATGATTAAATTAAATGTTTACTCCTCTTTCTTTTCCTTTTTTTTTCAAATTTGAAAATTAAATTTAAAAAATTAATTGTAATAACACAAATTAGTATGTAATTTTTATTAATTTGAAATCATATTGGAACTTGAAAACACATGAAATTCAAACATTTAAAATGACAGTCATTCAAAAAAAAAGAAAAAACAATGTTGCAATTAACTAACACACATTGTTATAAATTAAATTTTAAAAAGTGAAAAGAAAAAAATATGAAAGAGAGAGGGAGAGAGAGGCAGAGAGAGAGGGAATGAGTAAACAAAAATAATTTCAAATTATTTTTTTAACTTTCCGCAATTTAACTTTGCTTTTTTGAGGAAAAAAAGCTTACTTTTGTGCTTTTTATTGCATATTATCAAAAAATTTTTTCAATTTTTTCATTGAAAATTTGTTCGATAAACTAAAAAACGCAAAAAAAAAGGAAAAAAAATTGTAAATAATAAAAATTTTATTTTTATTAAATGAAATCAAAATTGTTCTCATTAAAGTATCATAACTTTTTATTATTTTTCATATTTTTATTTCGTGAAAATTTCGTGAAAAATTCATATTTGTAAAAAAAAAGAAAAAAATGAAAGAGAAGAAGAAAACAATTATTAATCATTTCATTCAATAAAGAAATTTCTTTTTTTCTTTGAAAATAAAATTGAAATTCAAAAAAAGCAAACACACACAGCGATACATTGAAGTATAAATATAAATTTAAAAAAAAAAATTTAATTCCATTTTGAAAATTTAAAAATTTCAAAAATTTCATTATGCAAATTTGAAAATATAAATGCAAATGTCAACAATAATTAATGAATAAATGAATGAATGAAATTGGACAAATGACAATAAACAAAGTTTTATGAATAATTATAATATTGATGGCATATAGAAATAATTAAAAATTCAAAACAAAAAAAAAAAAGAAAATAATTTTTAGTTAAATAATTTGAATGTAAAGATCAAATTATTAATTAAAATGACTGAATGAATTAAATCATTTCGATTTATCATTGTTATTTGTCAAAACTTTTTGTCAACAAAAAAAAAAAAAATTTTTTTTCACAAACATTTTTTGCTAATTCTAAATATTAATAATAAATGAATGAATAAATTTGCAATTTTAAATGCCAATTTTAAACAATTTCAAATACAATTTCACTTTTTTTTCTTATTTTTTAATTTTATTTTTTATAAAATTTCAAAAAGAAAAAATAACTGACAAATCCAATATTAGTAATAAATTTAATGTCCATTTTCATTATTGTTATTAATATGATTATTATCATTTTCATTATCAGTATTACTATTGGTACTGGTAGGAAAAATTTCATCAATAACGAAATGTCGTATTAATGATTCCTGACTTGCGGTCCGCATTTCCGGTAATTGTTGCGAACCTTCCGAATTGCTAGGCGAACACTGCGAGCATATAAAATATTCCACGTATGATTCATCATTAACAATCAATGAATCATCGCATTCAATTGTTGCAAGCTTATTAGCATTAGCACTGATAGTTACTTTTGAGTTGTTATCATCTGTTTCTGCGCTATCACTCTTATCACTTATCAGTTGCATTCGTGGCGTTTGATCATTTGAATCAATTAGAATCCTCGATTGTCCATCGAAATTCCCCCCCTCTTGTGATAGCGATGACGATGAAAATTTCTGATTCATCAAATTCTGCGCCACATCTGAATTTGCAGCTATCATTGAATTTGTCAAATGATGCAAAGGTATTGATTGTTCAGGAATTCCGGAATGCTCCAATTCTGCCGAATGTCCTAAATTTGCCGGATTTTCCACATTTGATAAATGCTCCAAATTTGTTGTTTGTTCTGGATTTGCTAAATGTTGTGAGTTTGATGAATGAATCATACTTGTTAGATATTGTGAAGTTGTTAAATAACTTGAATCAGGTAATTTTCCGGAACGGAATGATTGCTCTGAATTTGTTGAATATTTGAAACTTGATAAACTGCTTGAATTTGATGAATTCTCTGATTGTTCTGATGAATGCATTGATTCTCCTAATTGCATCGAATTTGTCGAATATTCTGTTTGACTTCCTGAATTTTCCGGATCAATAGAGTATTGCCTTAATTCTTCTTCTAATTGCATTGTATTTGCCGAATGTTCTGTTTGACTTCCTGAATTTTCCGAATCAATAGAGTATTGTCTTAATTCTTTTTCTAATTGCATTGTATTTGCCGAATATTCTGTTTGATCTCCTGAATTTTCCGGATCAATAGAGTATTGCCTTAATTCTTCTTCTAATTGCATTGTATTTGCCGAATATTCTGTTTGATCTCCTGAATTTTCCGGATCAATAGAGCATTCCAAAGTTATAGATTGTTCCAAATTTGTTTCACTTTGTTGTAAATTTGATAAATTCTGGAAGTGTCCTTCGGTATGCATCAAATCTACTACTTTTGACTGAGTTACATCGGTTGACCTTTCGAAATTTGTCGGTGAACTTTCAGAATCAGTTGAACTCTTTGAATTCGATGAATGCTTTAATTCTGCTAACTTTTCCAAACTTTCATGATGTTTTGTCTTTGAATTTGATAAATGCTTTAAATTTAAAATTTTCCTTAAATGAGCAAATCGATTTCGCAGAGATTTAAAATTGAATAAATTTTTTGAAGTTGAATTTGAACTTGTCGTTGGCTGATCACTTTGTAAAATACTATAACTCTGTGATCGTTGTCTTAATGCATTAAACTTTCGACCAAATATTTTCAATGATAAAAAATTTTTTTTTAATTTTTTCGTTTCATCGCAAATCAAATTTTCGTCTGAATTTTCTTCTGAATTATCAGATTTCAGTACTTCTATCTCCTAAAAATAATTCAAATTTAATTAATCAATGATCGATTTAAAAATAAACAAACAACTAATGACAACAATTTTATGATAAAATTAATTATAATCATTTTTTTTTTTCATTAAAAATTTTTCAATTCATTACAAAAATTTTTTATGTTTCATTAATAAGAACGATTTTAAATTAATCAAAATGAAAAAATTTGATATATTATTATTGTTTAAATTGAATTAACTATTATCATTCATTTTTTTTGATAACATTCCTTATCATAATATCAGTAACACTATAGGATAACATGTTAAGATTATCATTTTATTATTATTATTAACATTTATTGCTACATTGTTAATTGAAATCACAGCTTCCGAAACTAACATCATCATTATCATTTCCTGGCTTATCACTTGAGTCATTTTGCTGTTCGTTATCAGTTGGACGTAAATTGTTATCATCTGCCATATTTGTATTTGACTATTATGCTGAAATAAATGATACTAATTAGCTTTGTTAAAACTGATAAAACTTTAAAACTTCACAAATATCTAATAAAATTATCAGCAAATTAATTAAATCAATTTTAGCAGCTAATAATAAATCAATTGGTTAATTAAATTTTATTGATTAATCAAAATTAAAAGCTTTAAAATCTTAATTCAATTAAATAATTTGCATATATTCATTAAATAAATAAAAAATTTCTCTAATAAAATCTTTCTTTTTTTACATATGAAATTATAAGTAACTGTTAGAGTTATATTAATTATCATAAATAATTTTACTTAGAATGATAGCAGAGAAAAAAAGAAAAGTAATATCTCATATCGATTTTATTTTTTAGCAAAATTTAAATCTAACAATTTGACCATCCATTTTGATCTTTTCTACTATGCAAAATAATTAATTTGTATGAAAATGTCTCACATATTCGTTTCAGTTTATTAAATAATTTTTGTAAATAAAAACATTCACTTCAATTTGTAATATTTACAATTTATTGTCAAACTAAACACAAAAAAAAGATAAACAAAAACAAGTCATAAAGAATGTTTACAAATAACTTTTGTAAACAACAAAAAAGAAAAAAACTGATACTTTCAATAATTAATTATTTTTTGATATTTGTTGTTTTTTTTTTTTTTTTATATTTATGCTTAAAAATTTTATTTATTACAACAATTTTTCTTCGTTTTTTTTTTTTTGGGTATAATTTTTATTAAAAGTTATTAATTTAATCGAATTTTTTTCACTTCTATTTTATACTTTCACAAATAAATAAACGTACATTTAAAATTATTCAAAGTTAATTATCTAAAAATAATTAAACAATTAATCAAGTATTAATCAAATGTTTGATGAATTTCGTCTAAAATTCATACAATTACTTATAATCAAATTTATTTTTAGTTATTATATTCAAAAAGTATATGTAATATAAAAATAGTAATATATGAATCAATTTTTAGTATAAGTAACTGTTACTAATTAATGCTAAATTTAATTAAGCAAATTTTGTTAATTTTTAAATTTAATAATATTTGGACAAAATATACCACACAACAACCATACTAATTCAAAAAAAAAAATATCAAATAATATTAGGAAAGTGAGAGATAATTATAAAAAATATAAAAATATTAAATAATTGTTATGTGATTAGGAGAGTGTTAAAATTATTGATAAGAGAGAAAGGTAGTGATTAATGGAAATTGCTGGAATTATTGGAGAGCTAAAAAGTTGGGTCAAATTTTTGTTCTATGATCTTTTGAGCGGTCAATCTTTTATGTTTGATAATTTTTTTTTTTTTATTTGCAATTCATTTATTCTTCCATTTCCTTTACTTTTCATAAATCATTGAAACAAACAATAATATAAAATGAATTAATTTAATTAAACGAAAAAAAAAACACTGCGAAATTTAAATATTTAAAATTTTAAAATATTAAAATATATAAAAAAATAAATTATTGCTAACTTCGAAATATTTCGCAAAAATTTTTGGGAATTCTTTTTTTGTTATTCATTTTCAAGAAAATAATTAGCACTGAATAATTTAAATTTCAATCTTAAATTTCTCTTTTAAAAAAAGTAATTCTTGAAGTAATTAAATGATTAAATTAATCTTTCATATATTTATTTATATATATTTCAAATATCTTTTATTTTAGTACTTTATCTTTCCTTCCTAAATTAATTACTGTGCATATATTGCAGATATTATGGAGGAAAGGCAAGAACAGAATCTCGAGGATATTTCAGATGCATCAAAGATAGATGGTATGTTCTCTTGAATTCTTTAGAACAGAATCTCGAGGATATTTCAGATGCATCAAAGATAGATGGTATGTTCTCTTGAATTCTTTAGAACAGAATCTCGAGGATATTTCAGATGCATCAAAGATAGATGGTATGTTCTCTTGAATTCTTTAGAACAGAATCTCGAGGAGATTTCAGATGCATCAAAGATAGATGGTATGTTCTCTTGAATTCTTTAGAACAGAATCTCGAGGAGATTTCAGATGCATTACGCACTTTTGAATTCACTCAAACAGAATCCCAACGATGCATCTGAATTCACTCAAACAGAATCCCAACGATGCATCTCAATTCACTCAAACAGAATCCCAACGATGCATCTGAATTCACTCAAACAGAATCCCAACGATGCATCTCAATTCACTCAAACAGAATCCCAACGATGCATCTGAATTCACTCAAACAGAATCCCAACGATGCATCTGAATTCACTCAAACAGAATCCCAACGATGCATCTGAATTCACTCAAACAGAATCCCAACGATGCATCTGAATTCACTCAAACAGAATCCCAACGATGCATCTCAATTCACTCAAACAGAATCCCAACGATGCATCTCAATTCACTCAAACAGAATCCCAACGATGCATCTGAATTCACTCAAACAGAATCCCAACGATGCATCTCAATTCACTCAAACAGAATCCCAACGATGCATCTGAATTCACTCAAACAGAATCCCAACGATGCATCTGAATTCATTCAAACAGAATCCCAACGATGCATCTGAATTCATTCAAACAGAATCCCAACGATGCATCTGAATTCACTCAAACAGAATCCCAACGATGCATCTGAATTCACTCAAACAGAATCCCAACGATGCATCTGAATTCATTCAAACACAATCAACGATGCATCTGAATTCATTCAAACAGAATCCCAACGATGCATCTGAATTCATTCAAACAGAATCCCAACGATGCATCTGAATTCATTCAAACAGAATCCCAACGATGCATCTCAATTCACTCAAACAGAATCCCAACGATGCATCTGAATTCACTCAAACAGAATCCCAACGATGCATCTGAATTCACTCAAACAGAATCCCAACGATGCATCTGAATTCACTCAAACAGAATCCCAACGATGCATCTGAATTCACTCAAACAGAATCCCAACGATGCATCTGAATTCACTCAAACAGAATCCCAACGATGCATCTGAATTCACTCAAACAGAATCCCAACGATGCATCTCAATTCACTCAAACAGAATCCCAAAGATGCATCTGAATTCACTCAAACAGAATCCCAACGATGCATCTCAATTCACTCAAACAGAATCCCAACGATGCATCTCAATTCACTCAAACAGAATCCCAACGATGCATCTCAATTCACTCAAACAGAATCCCAACGATGCATCTGAATTCACTCAAACAGAATCTCAACGATGCATCTCAATTCACTCAAACAGAATCCCAACGATGCATCTGAATTCACTCAAACAGAATCCCAACGATGCATCTGAATTCATTCAAACAGAATCCCAACGATGCATCTGAATTCATTCAAACAGAATCCCAACGATGCATCTGAATTCACTCAAACAGAATCCCAACGATGCATCTGAATTCACTCAAACAGAATCCCAACGATGCATCTGAATTCATTCAAACACAATCCCAACGATGCATCTGAATTCATTCAAACAGAATCCCAACGATGCATCTGAATTCATTCAAACAGAATCCCAACGATGCATCTGAATTCATTCAAACAGAATCCCAACGATGCATCTCAATTCACTCAAACAGAATCCCAACGATGCATCTCAATTCACTCAAACAGAATCCCAACGATGCATCTGAATTCACTCAAACAGAATCCCAACGATGCATCTGAATTCACTCAAACAGAATCCCAACGATGCATCTGAATTCATTCAAACAGAATCCCAACGATGCATCTGAATTCACTCAAACAGAATCCCAACGATGCATCTGAATTCACTCAAACAGAATCCCAACGATGCATCTGAATTCATTCAAACAGAATCCCAACGATGCATCTGAATTCATTCAAACAGAATCCCAACGATGCATCTGAATTCATTCAAACAGAATCCCAACGATGCATCTGAATTCACTCAAACAGAATCCCAACGATGCATCTGAATTCACTCAAACAGAATCCCAACGATGCATCTGAATTCACTCAAACAGAATCCCAACGATGCATCTGAATTCACTCAAACAGAATCCCAATGATGCATCTGAATTCACTCAACCAGAATCCCAACGATGCATCTGAATTCATTCAAACAGAATCCCAACGATGCATCTGAATTCACTCAAACAGAATCCCAACGATGCATCTGAATTCACTCAAACAGAATCCCAACGATGCATCTGAATTCATTCAAACAGAATCCCAACGATGCATCTGAATTCATTCAAACAGAATCCCAACGATGCATCTCAATTCACTCAAACAGAATCCCAACGATGCATCTGAATTCACTCAAACAGAATCCCAACGATGCATCTGAATTCACTCAAACAGAATCCCAACGATGCATCTGAATTCACTCAAACAGAATCCCAACGATGCATCTGAATTCACTCAAACAGAATCCCAACGATGCATCTGAATTCACTCAAACAGAATCCCAATGATGCATCTGAATTCACTCAACCAGAATCCCAACGATGCATCTGAATTCATTCAAACAGAATCCCAACGATGCATCTGAATTCACTCAAACAGAATCTCAACGATGCATCTCAATTCACTCAAACAGAATCCCAACGATGCATCTGAATTCACTCAAACAGAATCCCAACGATGCATCTGAATTCATTCAAACACAATCCCAACGATGCATCTGAATTCATTCAAACAGAATCCCAACGATGCATCTGAATTCATTCAAACAGAATCCCAACGATGCATCTGAATTCACTCAAACAGAATCCCAACGATGCATCTGAATTCATTCAAACAGAATCCCAACGATGCATCTGAATTCACTCAAACATTTTCAAATGCTTCAAATTATTTGTTTCAAATTTATTCTTTAGATACTGTCAAAGAGAAACAACAACAGAATCTCAAAAATAATTCAAATGCGCCAACTGAAAGTGATAATATCAAAGATCAAAGATCAACGAAATTTAACAAGGATGGAAATGTTAGAAAAAATTTAAAAAAGAACAAAAAACTTAAAGAAAATATAACAAATGAATATTGTTGATTGATTTTTTGTTTACTTTTAAAAATTCTAAAATTTGTGACAATAAAAATTTTTTTTTAAACAATAATTTTTTAAAAAATTTCAAACATTTGCAAAAAATATTGTTTAAAATTTAACAATTAAAATTGATTTAATTCTTTATTAAGTTTTTTTTCCTTCTATGGTAGTATTATTTCATTTCTAAAATACAAAAAAGAAAAATTATTTTTAACATTGTTAAATGGTTAATAATCAAAGTGAAAAATTTGTATGCTTTTTTAAATTTAATAAACTAATTGATTTTTCCATTTCAAATTTTATTTTTATTTTTGTTGTTTAGGAAGATATCGATAAAATTGATTATTCATTTGATTGGGAAAATGATGAATTAACAAATGAAGATTTAAGAATGGAACTTGCATTTAAATTATATAATGTTCCAAGTGTTTGGAAAGTACCAGCAAATATTTTAATCAATTACTTAATTAAAAAAGTAAGCAATTCAAATTTTTATTTTCATTTCCACCGCTTTTTTCTTCTTTCTTTCATTATCAGTAATCCATTATTTGATAAAATTAATTGATAATTTAAAAAGGAATTTTTTAAATTTAAACTTTCATTAAATTTACTTCTAATTTTTAATGTTTCACATATATGAAATTAATTTGATAATATGTTAATTACTATCTTTATTAATATGTTTTCATTTCTTTTTTTTTGAAAGAAATTTTATTTGACGAATTTAATAAATTAATTAAAATATCCATTGATAATTTAATTAGTTTGAAGTTTACAATGTGTAATGGAAGAATGAAAGAATTAGTTTTCTAATTTTAATTAATTCAAAATTAAAAAAGCATTGTAAATTCAAATTTTATTTGCTTATTACTTTGTAATGCTGTAAAAAATAAATTTCGTTGCATTAGTTAGATTGAATTTTTATAAATTTTGTTCATTCCTTTTTATTTTGTTCATTTTTTATTTTTTATTTTTATTATTTTTTTTGTTTATTTCTTTTTATTTTGTTTCTTTCTTTTTATTTTGTTTATTTCTTTTATTTTGTTTATTTCTTTTTATTTTGTTTCTTTCTTTTTATTTTGTTCATTCCTTTTTATTTTGTTCATTTTTTATTTTTTTATTTTTTATTTTTTGTTTATTTCTTTTTATTTCGTTTCTTTCTTTTTATTTTGTTTATTTCTTTTATTTTGTTTATTTCTTTTTATTTTGTTTCTTTCTTTTTATTTTGTTCATTCCTTTTTATTTTGTTCATTTTTTTTTATATTTTTTATTTTTATTATTTTTTTTTGTTTATTTCTTTTTATTTCGTTTCTTTCTTTTTATTTTGTTTATTTCTTTTATTTTGTTTATTTCTTTTTATTTTGCTTATTTCTTTTATCTTGTTTATTTCTTTTTATTTTGTTTCTTTCTTTTTATTTTGTTTATTTCTTTTTATTTTGTTTCTTTCTTTTTATTTTGTTTATTTCTTTTTATTTTGTTTCTTTCTTTTTATTTTGTTTATTTCTTTTATTTTGTTTATTTCTTTTTATTTTGTTTATTTCTTTTATCTTGTTTATTTCTTTTTATTTTGTTTCTTTCTTTTTATTTTGTTTATTTCTTTTTATTTTGTTTCTTTCTCTTTATTTTGTTCATTTTTTTTTATTTTTTTTATTTTTATTTTTTTTATTTATTTCTTTTTATTTTGTTTCTTTCTTTTTATTTTGTTCATTTTTTTTTATTTTTTTTATTTTTATTTTTTTTGTTTATTTCTTTTTATTTTGTTTCTTTCTTTTTATTTTGTTCATTTTTTTTTTTTTTATTTTTATTATTTTTTTTGTTTATTTCTTTTTATTTTGTTTATTTTGCAATCCAATTTATTTTAGACATTAATTTTAACCGTTTTTTTTTTTTTTTTTGAGTAACAATTTTTGTTTAATTGTGATTTTTTTCTTTCTAAATTAATTTTCAACTTAAAATTGATTTCTTATCCCAAAACTCAGAATTATTTGTTTCTTCAGCTACCAAAAAAAAAGAAATTTAAAAATTTTTTATAGTATTAATTTCTTTTTTATGAATTATTTCATCAATAAATTAATGAAATATAAATTTATTTATTTGTTTATTTGCATTTTGTTTTTTGTTATTAATTTCAAATTACTTTTTATGTTTGAAAATAAAACTTAGATTAGTTTTACTTGATCAAATGATTTTTTTTTTTAAATTAATTAATACATTCAATTGATTAATAGTTGAATGAATGAATGAATGGAAAATTAATAAAAATTAATTAATATCAATAAAATTTTACATTTTTAAAATCTTTTTTTATTATTATTTGTTTTTTTTTCCTTTTTTGAGAATGTTTACATTTTCTTTTTCTTTTCATTTATTTTTTGTTAAATTTTTCTAGGCCTTTTTTTTCCAAAAAAAATATTTTTATAGTTTTTTTTATTTTTTATTCTTTTTTTTTCCAAAAATTTAGAATAATTTATTATCATTATCTGTTATCATTTAGTTTTGTTATTTTTATCACTTATTTATTTGTTTATTTTTGGGTTTTTTTTACTTTTTTATTTTAAATTAGTAATCAGAATTTTTATTTAAAAAAAAAAAAATTGTTTGTTTGATATATTTTTATCTTCCAATCGTCGTTTCTTTCTTGATTTTATTATTATTATAATTACTATGTGATAAGTAAAATCACAATTTCCTGCTTGAAAAATTTCTTTTTTCAAATTATTTTCATAATCGCTGTCTCTAATTTAATTTAATTTAATTTAATTGTGATCTATAATCAGTGTCATTGGCTTAAAAAAGTTGATAAATTAATAATGAATTTAAAATAATTTAAACAGAATAAACAGAAAATTTAAAAATTTATTGAACTAAGTTAAAAAATAACTCAAAACGAAATAAATTATCAATATTTGTGGACAATACATTTAATAATATTGAATTGTGTTAAATAATTGTGATAATCTCTTTAAGTGATAAACTTTTTAGGATGATAACAGTGATAAAAATTTGAAAGCAATGGATGAAATTCGATTTGCTTGCAAAAATTTGATTGATTCAATGGAAAATTACAGTGGTAAGCAAAATTTTATTGCTGTAAATATTTTATTTATTTAAAAGTTAGAATAAATTAATTATTGTTTTTGCTAAAATACTATGTAATCAGAAATTATACTTAAGCAAAAGTTTTTTTTAATTTATATTTTCCCAATTTATTTCGTTTCATTATGTATTTGAAAAAAAAAAAACTATTTAATGAAATTTTATCCAATTTATTTGTTTATTCATATACATAATTTAATTGACCAACTGACCAATTCTGATTTGCAAAAATATCAAATTAAAATTATTTTAATGAAAGAAATATAAAATTATTATTATTACTCTTATTATTATTATTACTGCTATTGCATTATTGGCTTATTATTATTTATTTTTATCATTATCTCATTATTGTCATTGTTGCTATTATCAGTTTATTATTATTATTATTATTATTATTATTATTACTATTATTATTATTATTAATATTATTATTATTATTATTATTATTATCAGTTATTTCTATTATCAATTGTTATTATTATTACTATTACTATCGGTATTATTATTTATAACATTATTGTCATTAATTACTATTTATTGTTATTAATATTATTACTACTGTTATAATAAATTATTATTATCATTAATTAGTGATTATTTTGTTTAGAATATTATCAATTAGTGGCACTTACAATGCAAAGAATGTCACCACTTCTGCTGGAAATGCAATACTCAAATATGAAATCAAATAATGAATCGTACAATTTCATCGAACGAATTAATAATTTGGCATTGGTTCAAGCAAGCGCTGATTTTGCGACAGATTTGATCAATTCAAGGAAGCTTTATTATATGAATGTTTCAACAAATTTTAGAAAACTAATAATTAATCTGAAACAAACTTATCAACGAGTAAATAATTCAAACACTGATAAAATCACTGATAATAATGAAACAAATTCTAAAATGATGAAAGTGATTCACTCTAACTTACAACATTTAACTTATCGGATTGCTGCGATCACTTATACCACTAAAGTAAATAAATTACCATTTGGCACTAACACTAAAAAAAGTATAACTTCCAGAAGAAAAGAAATAATTTTTGAAACAATTGAAGCTAATGACGATGAAAATGCATCGACATCTGGACTAAAGGATATATCTTATAAAAGAAATGAATTTAATATCGAATTAAAATTGCAAATCGATATGCACAAAAGAAATGCAATAAAAAATATAATTAATGCAATGATTACAATCAGTAATTCAGTACAGCAATTCAATAGCAAAGCACATTCAGATGCACGACAAATGCTAAAGAGTATTCATCGAGCAGAGACAATTGCGCTCGAAATGAAATATAGTAAGAAACTAAGTGACGAGCAGTCACAGTGTGTCACAAGTAATTTCAATGCTTGCATTCGTTTTGGGCATCGAATTGTGAGCAATATTTCTGCGTTAATTGAAAATATAGAAAAAATCATTGCATATCTGAAATTAAATGAAATTAAATTATTATTATTAGATAGAAATAGTGAATTACAATTAAGTTTAATTAATTTTGAAAGTAAACTTTGTAATAATTTGGCCGAATTTGACATTATCATTGATGCTAGTGAAGCAGCAAGTGATTTATTTGAAAATACTGAACTTGAATCACTTTTTTATTCGCCCACTCCAGAAGTAATCAGATGTGAAAAGATATTTTATAATCATTTATCAGAATTTGTTTCATTATCACGAAACTTTAGCGATGCATGGAATGCTAATAATACATTTGCTGATATGTTACAATATTTACTTATTTTTATAATGAATGATGATGATGATGATAATGATTATAATGGTGATAATAATAATGATAAAAATGATAATGCTAGTGATAACTTTTGTACTATTATACCGAAAGAAACTAATCTTGAATGTGCACCCACTGATAATAATGATACTCCAATAAGTGACACTAATTTATCATTCAATTATCAGTCAAATGTAACTGAAGAATTAAAAGATGAAATTCCAGAAGAAATTATTTCAAAAAAAACAACGAAAACAAAATCGAAGAAAAAAATAAATGTAAGATTTTTTTTTTTTTTTTTTTTAATTCATTAAATAATATTATTTATTCTATTTTACGCTTTCTTGTATTTCAATTTTCAAATTTATTTCATTAAAAAAAATTTTCTTCAATTTTTTAAACAAACGTAAACAACTTTTATTAGAATTAAAAAAAAAAAATACGAGATACTTTTTTTTTCTTTTAATAAACATAAATAAATTTAAGTAGTAAAATTCAAAAATATAAAAAAAAATAAATTTAAGTACTAAAATTCAAAAATATATAAAAATAAAAAAAAAAAGATATTAATGTGACATTTTGCAGTGCATTTGTACATGATAAATTACAAAAATTATCAATCATTGATAGCAATTTTTAAGGTTTTTAAACAATTAAATTTCATTTATAATTTTTATTTTAATAATTGCAGAAATCTAAAAAGAAGAGACGAAGATAAATATAGCACACAGTTTTCTGTCGCAATTTACAAATTTAAATTTATTATTTGCTTTCTTTTCTTTTTTTTTGAAATTTTCTATTTAATAAAAATTTGTTTTTGATTGTTTCCTTTTTTCCTTTTTGTATTTTAATTTCTTATTTTTGTTTTTGTTTTTCTATAATAATATACGTATGATTTGTAGAAAATTATTGCAATTGAAAAGTTTAAAAAATATTTTGAAAAAAACTTTTGCATAATAAATAATAAAAATTTTTTTTAGAAAAAAAAAGCAGAAAATATAATAATATTATAGTATTAATTGCTTTAATTAAAGCAATTAATTCATTTTTTATTATCCTATTAGAAATTTTAAAATTTTGAAATTTTTCTTCTTTACAATTTAAAAATATTTTTAATTTTTTGTGATACTTAAAAGCTAATTGTTTGCATTCTGTTTATTGTTTACGTTTACCTTTTATACTTTCCTATTTCAAATATATTTACTTATTAACAAATAATTAATTATCATTCTTCCATACTATGAATACTTGAAAAAATTAATTTATTTACATCTCTTTAAAATAATATATCAATGCATTTGCAAAAAAAAGAAATAAAAGAAATTCAATTTCAATTTTCATTTGCCTAAAATTTTTGTATTAATTTCTTTCTTTTTTTCATTGTTCAAATTTTATCAAATCTTTTTAGTATTTAGCAAATATTTGTGCATAATTTTGTTGGAAATTTTTATTTTACCTATTAACAACACACTAATTTGCTTTTTGATATGAAAATACTTTGATGCATAAAAGTATTATTATTATTACATTCCTGATTTGTAGTTTTCCGGAAAATAATTTTACTTCAATTTGTTTTATTGCTTCGTTTATTTCAATGCATATTATTGTTGATTTTTCTTCTCTTCTCAATATATTTATTGTATATTTTACATGCTTTATTTTAGTTCTTTTTTTTTCTCAGTAAATTTTTACATTTATAAAATTTTATTTAAAAAGTTTTACCATTTTCTTTGTTTTTATTTTTTGAGATAGCTATAATGACTTGATAAAATGAATTATTAAAGAGTTAAAATTAAGGTAAAATTGAAGACATTTTCAATTATTTTATTAAATGTTCAATATTCTCGCAGTAAACATTTTAATAAATCAATAAATAAATTGATAAGAAAGAAGTGAATAAACTGATAAGAAAAAGTATATTAAAAGAAATTACAATTTCTCATTAGCTATTAATTAGCTAATTCTTAACAATTTAATTATTTCAGAATTAAATATGAAATAATAATTTCTCATTTTTTAATTCCATCCATACATTCTATGAAAATTCAAACTGTGAGTGCTTTTTCAGTTTTTTTTAAAAAATATTTAGCTAAATTCGACTATTTTAATAATAAAATGTTTTGAAAAATTAATGATATAATTACAAAATTTAATTTCTAAAAAAAAAATAATAATATTACTTTGCATTTCATTAAAAAAAATTAAAATTTCATTATTTTCCCAATAAAACTGAATTCTAGCAAATTAATTTATAATTATAACATACATTTTAAGATTGCTATGATCAATAGTTGAAAATCTTTTCCAGAATTTAATCAGATTTCATTTTCAGTTAAAAATTTTTTCCAGAATTTAATCAGATTTCATTTTCAGTCAATTAAAGATAAATATTTCAATTCAATTCCTTCTTAACTTAAAAAAAAAAGTAAATAATAGATTAATTATTAATGAAAATTCGTAATTGATAACTGATAATAAAAGGAATATAATAAAGTTAAAATTATCATTAACATTGATTTGTTGCACTTTTATGTCAACAAAATTTGTTTTTTTTTTTTAATTTTGAAAATTTAATTTAATTTATCATTTTAGGATAATATTATTATTATTAATCTCTATAATAGGGAGAGAGAGAGAGAGAGAAATGATCAAATGATGGAAATGTATGATTGTCTTCGAATGACACAAATGATACGATCATCATTACATAATGCTATTCAAAAAGTATTAGCAATGTATTTTTCTTTCTTTTTTTGTTTATAATATTATTAAATTGAATTGAAATTAGTTTAATCAAATAATACATTAAATTTCGAATATAAAAATATCAAATTTTATAGGATTTATTCATTAAAAACGATCGAAATGTGACATTTCTCATCGGATATCGTTGTTGAGTACATCTTACTAAAAGGCATTTTATAGCACTGTAAGCAAAATAATTGAAATACAAATTTGACAAATTATAGTATAAAAAATTAGCTAATTAATGATGTAAAAATGATTTAAAAATATTTATGATTAATTTTTAAAAAGCACAAATAACAGTGAAAAAAAGATAAAAAATTTGAAATTTTTACACTTAAAATATTTCGTATTGTCTCCCTGCAAATATTTAATAGTTAAATTTATATTCATTTGATAGCACAGATTCTTGAGCATACGTTAGTAATAATAGCAAACGTCTAACTTACGAATTTAACGTGCTACGTGCCATTTTGTAAGTGCTACTTACCAGCAGCCAGTGTATATTTTGAAACGAATACGAGCATAGCGAGGAGTCCCAGCGTAGTCGTTGCAATCGCTCTCGCCACATGCACAGCTGTTTCTCCGCCACTTTCAGCCATTTCTGGTGAAAACGCGTCTTCGGGTTGGTTGTTTTGGGATTTCTCTAAGCTGTCCCATCCCAATATTTCCACGTTTTCACGTGTTACGTGATTGTACGATGGCAGTAGATCACGTAGAAGTTATAAGTTTTTACTACACAAAATTATGAGAATTTTGCATTGGTTTACAGTTTGAATGAATTTCCTTTCAAATTAGCAACTATCCTACTGAAATAAAACTTTGCAAAAGTAAAATTCAAATTTTCGAACAAAAAAAAAATGGTAAAAATTTTAGAAAATAGTGCAAAGATTTTTGTTGAATTTTCACTTTTAATGAATTTAAAAGTGTATGTTATTGAGTGCAAAAGTCTCTTTAAAATGTCCAATTTAAAGAAAAAAAAAGAGAATTTCTTTTTTTTTCTTCATAAGCGATCGATTTACTTAATAATTTTTATTTAAGTTTCAGGAAAAGAAAAGAGTAATATTTTAATGAGACTTTAAAATTTTTAGGAATATAAAAGTTTCTGGAAATTTTCTTTTCTTTAATACCTACAAAAAACTGTGTATTAATGTGGAGTATAGATTAATTATCACGTATGATAGGTTAATTACCACGTATGATTACGTGATAACTTGTTAGTGCATATCACTGCCATTTATATATACGTGAAATAAATAAGTCATGAATGGATCGGAAATTTAGATTTATTAGCTTTTTTAATATTTTAATTTTTAAGAATGTTTCTATCATTTTATTATATCATTTATGATTGTTTTTGTTATTTTTTTTGCCGCCACTAAGCGCTAAATATGCACTTTATGGCGGCAAAAATGAAAAAAAAAATGATCCGAGAGAATTCGATCATTTATTTCTGCACAAAAATACTGGTATTTGAACATTGTAATGGTGATACAACATTGTGATAGTTTTCTATTGCATTTTTATATTAATTAAAAGCATCATGAAAATGTTTAGTTCATATATTTAAGTCTTATGTCAATATTCTTTTCTTTCTTTTTCAATGTTAATACAATATATTTCAATTTACCATATTTTCCAAGGATCGAAATCATTTTTTTGACATGATCAGTTATAATTTCAGTGCTTTCCATTTTCTGTTCGATACAATCTAACAAATAATGCCAGCTACTGAAGAAGTTGGTGCTACTGCAAGCGCTACTAACGGTGATAATTTGGCTGTTGTAGTATCATCTAATACTGGTGCAACAGTGACTGCACCAGTCGGGAAGAAGCGGAATAATATGATGAAAAGAATGAATGCTAATGTTCCAGCAACTAAAAGTTTAAAATCGCAAGCAAAATCGCAACATAATCATCCACCGTATGGTAATATGATCAAGGCTGCCTTATCGGCTACACAGGACAAGAAGGGACTGAGTCGTGCAGCAATTCTGAAGTATATCATGCAAAATTTTGCAGTCGGCGAAAATCCTACTATGGTGTGATTTTTTATTGAGTAATTTCATTCCATTATCATTGATGAAGTTTTTAAATGAGTATAGAATGGTTGAAATTAGTTAGAAAATCAGTTAAGAGACAGTAAGGAAGTGGGCAACACTGTTTTTGAAATTTGGAATGTTATGTTATGACCTCAAATGTTAAATATTATTGTAGATCTCGGTGGGAGTTTTTTTTATATTCAAGAATTGTTACCTTTGCAAGGAAAAGGACTTCATTACTTGCACTTGCCAGATTTAACAACTTTTTCTTTTATGAGTTTTCTGGATACTTTAACCGATTCTGACCAACAATTTATTTCTTAAAAAAAAATCTTATGGGCAATAATAAATGGATCTTGAAAATTCAGGTTAATGCGCACCTTAGAATGGGACTAAAACGTGGCGTCACATCAGGTGTTCTGAAGCAGATGAAAGGTACCGGCGCTTCTGGATCATTCCGTTTAGCTGATGCAAAATCGGAAGCGCCTAAAAAAGTCAAGAAGCCAGCAATTACAAAATCTACTACATCTGGCGATATGAAAATGCTGTCACCGAAAAAATCGATGAAAGCAAAATCTGGCACAAAAAAGGTTTTTATTTATTATCTAGCTAACTTTTTCTTAGACTTTGCTGCTGGTAAGACTTAATTTACCAATTAGATCATTTGGTTTCGCCCATTCGAAATATGGATTCCCAGTAATATGATTTTCTTTTTACCGAAACTTTATAAGTCATTACTCATGAAAGTTTTTGAATTTAAGGTAACTGCACCAAAGGTTTCGAAACCAAAAGCTGAGCCCAAAAAGAAAGCAAGCACTGTTTCTGCCGGAGCAACCCGAAAAAATAAGAAGAGTGTTGGCAGACCGAAAAAGGAAGGTTCAGCAGCTAAATCGAAGCCAGGAAAGAAGTCGGCAATGGCACATGCAAAGAAAAAGGTTGCGGCTTAAGATCAATATGTACCTCACACTCGATCTCATTACACTTATACAGTGCATTGTTTAAGCTTCGTTTTAAAACATTTGCAAAATTCTTTTGGAGAATGTGTCATCGTCGACAAAGCGCAACCTATTTATGCTTTTTTTTTTACAATGTATGATGTACATGAATTCTTCAGCTAACCTACTAGTAAAAACTGTAATCGTAATGTTTGGTTACCTTCACATGTAAATATTAAGGATATGTTTGAAAAAGAAAATCATTACAAATATCGACTTTTGAATGGATTTAGCGTTCTGTTGACAGTATAGAATAAATTAAAGAGATTCAAATCCTAGTCAGTTAAGGCATTAGACTTCAAAAAATACAGATTTTCCTGGATTAAAAGATCACAAAGTGATGAAATTCATCAATATGATGGTCATCTGTTGAACTTATCGATTACAGATTTCGAATTAGGATTGATGAGATAGAAATGTACATATTTGCTTGGTTTTTTACTATATCACTTTTCATTTGATTTGAAGATATTAGTTTTCCAGTTTATTTTACTATTGAACCAATGTTGATTGTGAACACTTCTTGTATTGATTGCTTAAGCTTATATGAAAGGACGTAACAATATGCAAAGTTTGGTTTGTTACTTTTACATAACTCTACTATTCTTATAATGCATTGGACAATGATATCCAAACAATTACTGATCTCCAAATATTCAAATTGCTAACTAACCACAGTGGTTTTAGAGATAGTTCAGTTAATGTTTCCACATTGGAAGATAACGAAGGCATTAAACTAACAGCAAGGCAGCAAGAAAATAAGTAATGCACTAGAAAAAATGAATGAATATAAAATTAAGTGATTTTTAATTGCGGAAAGTAGTAGTACAAGAAAACGAGTAATCACTACCACGATAGCAATCTTAATGATTTCTGAATGTAACCAACAATTCATTTCAACTGCTTCTCTTCGGCTTGATATTATCCGTGAAAGGATTGCTATTTCTCACCAAAAGAATGCTCCAAACATTTCGTTTCTAAAAAGAAAAACACAAACAATTAAGCAGAAGCACCTTTGAAAAGCATACAGTGCAAACTGAATCTAAAAGATAAGCGTGCAAAACTTAGAAATCTAAAACTAAGAAATGGAGAAGATTAAATTCCGCAAAACGCATAACACACAGAAAAAGTTGTGCAAAAATTTAATTAAACGAGCAGACAATTCGGTGTCTAGGAATGAAGGAATTAACAAATAAATGAAACCAAAGCGACTATAAAATAGACAGACCTTTTTTTCATTTCGAATACTTTATTTACCTGATAAAAAGCGTCCAGGCTATGTTTGTCTGACTCATAAAATTTTTAACTTACTTCAGTGAACACTGCATTTTTTTTTCCTATTTTTTGTACATTTTTTATTCAGTAATGAGTTAAAACTTTCTAGGCTTTTCCAAATATTTAATCATTTGAGTGGAAGGATAACTGAGGATTTCTGTCCTGAATTAGATGCAATAAGGGAAAAGCGTAAAATACGAGTATAGGAAATAGAGAAGGTTAAATGGAAGTATAAAAATGTTAACTGAACAAAGGAAGACAATTACTAACTAAAGAAAGAGGATAGAATGAAATAATAAAACAAATAAGAAGTCAAACAAAATGATGGCTGCAAAAATTAGGAATTGAATGTGACGAAATTCAATCTTCGCAATGAAATTATATTTATGATTTACTTCGCATTATTATTTATACACATCAATAGAATAAAATTTCCAAATCATAATGTAATAATTTACAATAGCAGACTGCTAATAGCGGTAATTTTATCGATTCCGCAACTTGCCCGTTGATTTTTTTTAACCTGTGTCTTCATCACATCACAATAGGAGAATAGCACTAACATATCAGAAAGATTGGAAGCAGACTACTATAAATCAATGTTTCTGGTTTACTAGAACACTTGAATACAACCAAAACTCCTAAAATTCGAGTAATATGCATTAAAAAATTCGCTCACTAAAATTGATTTTCTTTAACACTAACATATCTTAATTGAGTAATGTAGGCTAAAGATTTTTCCTTCAAGCAAATATAAAGCCTAAATTAGAAATATGTAATAATGATATCTGCAATACAAGCATTCCTAGCACACTAGGATGTTTTATTCTTGAAATCATGAAATTACGTTAGAAGCGCTGAAGTGAAAAAAAAAAAGCATTTTTGCTTAACAACAGCATCACATATTTAGAATAATTCACACATGAAATAGCACAAAATATTAAGAAGAATGTGCTGTTATTGGGAAGAAATGTAATCATTCACAGGATAACAGTCTGAAAATTTCAAACTGTCATTTTTATTATAGATTAATTATGTGAGTTCCATTCAATAAGACATCGAATATGGCAAGATCCCATCTAAGATCATGCAAATGACCAAAAATCATCGTTTCGATGGAAAATGAAGCAGAACTCAAATCTTGTGCTAATAGTTCTTCATAAAGCGCAAATTGTAATTAAATACAAACTAATGAGCAGAAATTCAATTACTTGGTTTGCGGTGCCTTTGATTGAGCAGGTTGAAATACGGCACTTGAAGCCATAAGATTCTGGATGTACTGCCCAAGTACCTGATTTTCAGATCGTAATTTTAGGCTTTCTTCTTTGACGCTATCAACACGCTGACTCAAATCTATAAATATAACTTTTAAAATATAACTAAACTATGGACGAAAGAAAGAGTTAGTGATAATTTCGAAAAAGTGAAACTAAAAAACAAATCGTTCCTTTAATCAAAATTTTTTACACAACAAGAACGAATTTTGCGAGTTCGAAAAATCTATGAAAACAATGGAAAGGGAAAACAAATTTTATGAGTTCCAAATTCAGTAGAGAATGATTTATCAAAAATGCTTTTCAAATGATTTATTCACTTTTTCTAACATTAACTGACAGTGGAATGATATTTAAATAGAGATGAAAACAAAGACAGTAAAAAAAAAAATTGATAAAAAAAAATACCATCCAAAGTATTCTGAAGTTCGAGAACTTGGGAGATTAGTCGTGCTTTTTCTTCTTGATCATCAGACTCGTCTCGCGGTAACGGTTGTGCTGGACGAGGAATCCGACCTCCTGTATCTATCGAACTTCCTTGTGATTCTATAAATTATTTGAAATTTTAATAAAGCAAAAAAATTTTTTCTATCATTTTTTTTCTCTAAACATCTCATTAAAACCCACCATCGTCTACAAGTGGGAAATTGTCTGTCTCGTTAGTAACTGTTGTATCTGTGGACATCAACCTGAAACAATTGATTTCAACCATAATAATCTTGGTTTAATTAAGGAAAATATCATCCGCAACATATAAATGTTGTATCAGTTTTAGTTCAAAAATACATAACATAAAGAAATCTGTACATAATAAAAAAATCTCTTTTTTAGTTCAAGCACATGAAGGACATTTTAAGACATAGCAATATCATCTCCTAAATGTTCAATCTCGTTATCATTTATCATTTAAAATATTCTACAAAAAAATTAACTGTTACTCATCAAAAAAAAGAAAAAAATCCAAGATCTCTCATATGTATTTCGTTTTTACTGCAAATCACACTAATCTTAGTGATATCACTGAAGAATATGCAAAATAAAGAATGAGATCAGTAGAAAGTGTGTAATACAAATATGAAATCAGTAAATAGTATGTGATATACAGATATGAAATCAGTAAATAGTATGCGATAAAGAGATATAAAAACAGTAAAAGGTATGTGATATACAGAGAGATAAAAAGAAACATATGTTACAAGTGTAAAATCATATAAATTCATAGGATTACAATTACAAAACGAAAAAAGAAAGAGAGAAATCAATGACTGGGTGGTTGGTTGGTTGGATGAATGAGTGAATGAATGGATGGATGAAAGGAAGGAAGGAAGGAAGGAAGGAAAGAATGAATAATAACGTTCTAAAAGGCTAACTGAAAAGTCTACTAAAGCTTCCTCAATCGATAATTGAAATTGTCTCTAAAATAAAACTCTCAACATATTCACATTATTTATCAGTTTTCAAATTTTACAAACTTTAAAAGAATATAAGAAATTTTTCAGCTTAAATTTTATATCTATTACGCCTATACGTATACGTACATTGTGAATATATTTATCACGTCGCGTATACATTATAATATCATCAGTATTGTTATTAGCATAGCAGAGTATATATAAAATAGCATAAATATCTAGTATAAAAAAATCTATTTATTTAATTCAATAAATTTTTTTAATTTATAAAATGTTGTACACACAAATAATGATATTTGTACGTTATGTCAGTTTGCACATATATTGCATTCTTATCAATTCAATTTGTTAATATATTAAAATGAAAATTAGAATAGCTCTATATATATAAGCATATATACTTCATATAACTATGACAAGTTATCACTAACGTGTAATCCTTCCTCACATGAATATAACATATACGTATCACGACACGTTCACGTCATAATATTATTGTAATATAACCTATCAAATTACTTATACCACTGATTGTTAAAAAGTACGTAGAATGGAAAGTAATTCAATAACTTCTATGTTTAACTCATCTCACAAATTTCAGAAGATGAAAAATTTCTGACTTTAATTTGTTGAATTCCAGAAAAGTTTTACGAGAAATTTAAAGGAATTAGCAAATAGAAAATAGAAAGAACAGAGCAGAACCCCCCTCCCCCCCCCGTAACTATTCACTCCTTTAAACATTCTTCTTCTTCCTCTTCCTCTTCTCTTACTGTCAACCAGTTGCATCCTTAATTTGGCCGAACCACTTTACATGCAAATCCAGTATGGCCGATATTCTATCATTTTCATATGTGACATTTTGTGGTAGTGCGGTAGTTCTCTTAAGAATTCGATGTATTTATGATTTGCTGAAAGATTTATCACATTCATACTATATTCAAATATTAGAATATTATTGTTTATGATTTTTTTTTTAATGTTTATTTCTGAT